GGTAGTGGAGTCTTTAACACATCTTTTCAAATGCTGAAATCTGGGGAAGAGAAAACCAATGCCATTTCTTCAAAAATCAGTTACAGAGAAGCCAGACGGTTCCCTTCGACAATTTAAAATTTTCGAACTGCCATAACATTTTTTGAATCAACTGCTCATTGCAATGGATTGTTTGGTGTTGACTGACACCATGGACGTCGTTGTGAGATTATCTCATTAAGCCCGTCGCACTATACCACAAAACATCGGTGCGTTAATCAAACGATTTACACATAGGAGCGGGTGAACTCCTGTCCATAGCAATTGTGCTCCTTATAGCTAAACGGACCCTAATTGCATCAACGTGCTAAAAGCTAAAATCCGTACCATGATATCGATATTCCACTCCAACCCTAAACAGCACTAGGAAAGTTCAAACTTTGTTTGCGTCTATACTGAGATTTTGTAGCTGAGATGACGCTTTGTTGAGATTACTTTACACAAAACCAATGCCCTATTTAAGTGCTATATTCGACAGCCGATGATGCTCTTACCATTTGGATAACAATAAATAAGTCTCCCAGATTATTACGATCAAAAACGAAACCGAAATGCAGAAATATTGTTGAAGTACTCCGTATTTTTGTAATGCAATAGTATTGTTGGAAGCAAGGATGAGAACGCTCATGTTGCTTGGATGAGCAATTATGCGAACATTGTCGAGCTGGTTTGGGAGTTGACGCCAAAAGCTTGGAAGCCATTCTCATGTTCACATGATTTCTCACTTCGTCCTCCATGATCATTGAATCCTGGCTCAACCATGGATTTAATTCTGAACGGTTTTAGTTGAAGGAAAGCACTGTTTGCGTTATTCACACATCGACACTTGGATGCTTTGCAGCGTTTCATGAAATATCAGAGCAAACACGTTCAACCAGCCAAGGAGAAAGACGAACTGGCAATTTTTCTCGTCAGATTTACAGGTGAGTCAAACCCGATTTCGCAACACATGACTGAACACGGTGCAGCGGTTTCGATTCATCCTCTAATGTGAGGCACATTTCCCACGCTTTCAATACCATCGTCGAAGAAAGTTGTCAACTTCAATTCTCACATTTGATACTGTTCAAAAACAAAAAGTAAAGTGCCGAAAGCGCTAAATAAATTGTTGTATTGTGGATATAAGTTTACAGCACAGCGACGTATGTGAAAAGCATGCTCTCATGCATTTAAAACTTCTAATTCTGAGTCCAACAATGAATGAGCATTTGTCGTAGAATCACTATGTACTACAGTAGGATTCATCTGCATAGTTACAACATTTCACTAGATATGTTTTCACAATGCCGGGAATAACAAACGCACAAAACGAACACGCTCCAATATGCGCAGATAATACAGTCAACGACATATTGTGTGCATTTCAGCTGCCATTCTCTGTCGTACTACACCTTAAAGAAGACGATTGCTTTACTTTTGAAATTATATTCATCAACAATCGAAAACATTTCGTTGTACCATTATTATACCATTGAATTGTTATTTTAAACCTTTTTACTAATCTGCTACACGAGCCAGGTTTCCGAATGGATGACACGAAATATCATTTTCAGTGCACATGAGTAATGGATGAAAAATGTGTCCGAATTTCCATTGCTAAAGGTTTCCAAGCTTCCTCCAGTATGCTGTTCGCGTTGTAAGGTGTAAAAGTAAAGTGTAAAAGAACCCAAGTTCCCTCACACCCACCACCACTACCACAACCTCAACCAACACCAAAAACAACAACAACTACATAGTTTCCCCGTTATCCGTCTGATTCATGGCGGTGTTTTAGTTAAACGCTTCTCACTCATTGAAACGGTTTATAACTTTGTTTTGGAATCTACTGCTGGTCGAGACTGACTTTTTATTCAGATCGTACTTCAATCCGATCGTTGTACACCAGGGTTGAATATATTGGTTCAATGAAGGTTTGGATTATTGTTCATGTTAATGTTATTCCTGCAAAATGACTAGTAACAACGAGGCAAACATCTCGCATTGTATCAAGGAATTATTCGTGCATCTTCAACTTCCTATATGATAATGCTAGGTAGATGGTTACCAAGGAAACAAAGTTTAATGTAAAAGAAGTTAGATCACTACTTTATTACACAACTGGGTCCATAGTCAGTTGTCATTTGCTCAACAGATAAAAGGACCAAGTGCAGAGCGTCAAACTCATTAAATGGACAAATTTCCATTCACAAACATTCTATGGAGAATTCAAGAAAAATCCAATACATTGGGGCTGAGGGTAAATGCACGTAACACCCAGTTGTTTCCCGAAGCTGCTCTGCTTTTAAATGCGGCAAAATGTAGCGCTGCATATTGTCAAGCTAGCTGCTCGATGTCAACTTGATTCCTTGGCGAAGCCGTACTATTTGCAAGAGAGAGCTCAAGTGGAGAAAGAAAAGATGGTGACGCACACTGTTCATCGCGAGTTACAGATGAGACAGCGAAGCGCAGTTGCTTGATTATTGACGATGACTCAGTCACCAAAGATTACCATGCTAACCACGACCAGGGAAGCTTAAGATGCCTACAACGTACTCCGAGCGATGCACTTTTCATTACCTAAGTCAAGAGATTATCGAATAAAAATGTTTCGAAGCTCGGTTAGGAGTTATTGCACTGACTTCTGTTAGCAGAGGTATTTTTTAATATTGACCTAGCTATCATAAATAGCTCTAACTTGACTGTAGCTGTACCAGTTTGGTTTAATAAACAACGGAACCATAGTCTTCCGCTCTTAAAACACACTTATAGTTTTCCAATTCAAGATGCTAGCTTTCTAAATCCAACTTGAAATAGCACAGTGGACGCTATAGTAGATTCAACAAGCAATCAGTTCGAAATTTCAAACGTTGATCAACCGAGACAACATAAGTGATAGAGTAATGTGCGCCCATGCATGAGTATGTAGATAATGGTTGTGATCACGATAATGTGTCAGCAAAATCAAAACCATGTGTGACTGAGGAAGAGACGGAGCAAACTGGTTGAATGCGCATCACATCCAAAATCCGAGTAGATGAGATAAAGTAGATAAAAAGTGTTTGTTGAGTTTATATTTATTATCTGAATGAAAATTATGATTTTCAATACAGTGTATATTTTGGTCTATTTCACATGATCAGGTTTCGATCTATGCAATAAAAACCCTACTGACCTTAACCAACGCATCACACCCGAACGAGGAATTTCTCATAATTATCTCGATTCACATTTTCTTTCGCGTGATGTCTTGCCGCTACCATTTCGATTGTAAGCTTTGAAGTCCCAGCACTCTTTTTGCCACTAAAACACTTTTCAATCAAAATTGTCATTTCAATCCAACTGCAGTACACAGAACTCTGAAAGAAAAGTTCGCCAGTTGAAATAAGCAGCTGCTCTCGATACGTTCATCAAGTGGCCAATACAATTTGATAGGTTTATTTGGGTATGTCTGACTGGTTTTGATTGCATCAGATTAGGTACAGAACATGTACTAAGATTTTTGTATCTGGTGATCATCTCGATTAGACTGTTGATGCGTCCCCGGGGTAGAAATCGGTTTTATAATCCGAAGCCACGAGCGAGGCTATATCCCGAACGAACTGCTTTTGGTTGCTTAGGGAGGAAGCTATGTTTGGATAGCTAACCATTAGCTGTGTTTGTGAAAGCCTGCGGGAAGTCTAAGAAATTAACCATCAATCAGTCGAAGGTTGCATCTGATAGTATTCTTTTTCATTCAAGCGTGTTATCCGATACATCTCAGGCAGTTATGATGCACCGTATGAGCCGTTCATACACCTCAACTAAAAACAATAATGGAAACTCATCGAGTAACATAAGACGGTCAACGTCTCGGGAGCATAGGTTTAAACGTTTGCATTTCGCATCCAAAACGCTTTTGTCAGCAATCGATTCACACCCTTACATCCTTCTCGTGTTTTCAACTTTACAAAAGTAACAAACTATGTAACAGTTGAAAACCCATTGATACCGGACTGATTTGATTTTCAAAAGGCATAAAATGCGTTGCATCCTATATAAAAATAAATGATTCATATTTCAAGGTTCATAAAATATCGATTTATATTAATTAAAACTTCGCATGAATAACTTTAATAGTTTGGTGTCCTCTGTGCTCGAAATGTGAATTACCTTTGCTGGATGATTAGCAGATTGCCTTTGTAAAGTGAGTGACTGTTTCTGAAATAAGGGCGGCTCAAACAATACCATACATAGTACTGGAAACATCTCTTCATCCACCGCAC